CTTACGCCTCCTTACTATTGCTCTGTCCAGGTCCGACAGCTTCCATTTGCTGTCGGAGTTCCAACTGTCGAACAGTTCTAGGCATATAAAGTCAAGTAGTTAATAGGAGACAAACTTAGTAAGTCTTTATAAAACTTAGACTTTCAAATGGCAATTTCTTTATTATGGCCTTTGAAGTTAAATAAGAGCGTTATTTCATTCTCAAAAATGGCCGAAAATATGCCCTTGATGAATTCCTCGATTCTTCTGCCGCCCAGACAGCCGAGGTGGGAGATCTAATGCTAGTATTAATAATCAAATTGCAGCTTACAAGCTCCTTTCAGATTTCGATTTTCACTAGCAAGTTATTCAGCCGCTGATGACAGGGATTGGGTGAATGGATTTTGCCGTAGAGTTGTACTGGCCTCTGCAGTAACCCTCGGCGGCTGACAAATAAAGTAGAATCTGTCGTCCGAAAGCCGAAGATTATTGAGTGTTTTGTTCATTTTTGTCGCAATGCATACGCGTGGGCCCCATTTATCCAATACGATGCGCTCAGAATACATATAGAATAGACGTTTCGCGTAAGGGTTGATGTACCAGCCCATTATAATAAGGCAGCCGTCATCGGCTAAAACATATGCGTCAAAAACAACAATGCTAAATTAGTCGGATCACTTGGCAAAATATGGTAAAAGTAGAGTTACGGAAAAAGCTATGGAATCTGGCGGAAGGCGAGGAAAGGTGGGATTGATGAACTACACGAGAGTGACGCACATAAAACGAGGCCCACAAAAAATGGAAGATATTTTCTGTTTTAAAAGCGATACGTAAACATTCATGCAAAACAAAGATTTTTTCCGTGGGCATGAAGGTGTCAGTTTCCATATTTTGTTGCCGTTTTCTACGCGAGAACTTGTGCATGTATTCACCCAGTCTAGCAGTCTGCGCTGCCCTTTTTGTTAATTGATTCAGCTCAAAGCCTTTTTTTGTCGTTCATTAGCAAAAAACAATAACTGATGTTTTACGTCGAAGTAATCCCAACAAACTAAGCGTATTTGTAAAGAGGGGAAAGGAAGTTTCTAAATTATGGACCGCTGACCCGTGGTTAACAGATTATCTGCTCGGCTGTGTTTAAGTCCAACACTTAGCTGACATTAACCATGTACTACGGAACAGCGTACAAGGTCTCTCGTGGAGGCATTTTTAGAGTTACTAACGAAATGAGCCTTTATAAGTCCAGAATGCATAACATTTGAACCTGTTTAGATTTGTGATTTCCTTGAGCATCCACACACTCAGTCCTGCTTCCTCTACAACAGACTGTTTTCTGCGCATGTTTATCTGCGCATGTCTCAGACCTGTTTACGATTACCTATGATTAAGGATTC